GTATCCTAATTCAAAAATTTACCATGTAAAATGGAAAGATATACAAACTTTTTAAAGATCCCTCTGTGACAAATACCCATAAACAAGATTAAAGATGTATGAGATCTATAGTTAATTTTGTTGGATGTAGGATTGAAACCCTGTATGTTCTGTATGATAATGTAAAATGTATAATATGTATGTGTAAAATAAAGAATATATATATAAAAAAGAAGAATGTAAACTTCTTTACTACATACTTCCGAACCGAAGAACCTTTGAAGATTGCTATCATCTTCAACACACATAATCTGTCCGATGAAAATTTTGGAGTGTTTTATATCTTGGATTAATATTAATTATTGGACTGCCAATTATTTATGGGGGTGAATCAGTAAACAAGACTAAATTACCTGCAAACATTTGTCGGAAAAGAGGCGGGTTAGGGAACAGTGTACATATATTCTAAATATTGATCTTGTAACTGTGCGACATGAAAGCAATAAAATCATTTATGGTGATGTTTATGGTGATTAAATTCTGAAATGGGAATAAAATTGTGAACTTTTCCCCCATTCATACTCCTTGATGCAAGTCTCGTATTTGTACAAAAACATTAAAAGGTGTTTATTGTGTCTACAACCTACGTTATGTATATTAAATTCTGGTCGAGTTGCATCAGACTTGTGTTCTAATTTCAACTATTAATTTATCTTACCACTGCAGATGAATACGAACACCTATTTTAATTTAAATTTACTAAATGGAATTACTCTGGAGGATTTAAAGCAGCGATGTCAATAAATTATTTTAAACCTTTGACTGTCTGGTCTATGAATTTATCATGAATTTTCCATTGAGGTGAAATAGATATTTAATTTTCAGATGTTATCATCAATTATTCTTTATAATCAACATCTAGAGCCGCTGGATTAATTTTAGTCTATCTCCCTCTGCGTCATGGTGGAATTTGCTCGCATGTTGAAAGCTTTACTGATTTGGATATTGATTGACTACCGAAGAGGCCGCGTCACGTTGTTCTGAAATTGACACCAAATGCAAACACGATGAAGGAAATATTAAAATTCATGCCTGATCGTATATAAATCGGGCCATCCGAGAGGGCATCTTAATGCATCGTATGACCACCGGTTGAATTTTTTAGGCTCCGCAGCTATTTCCTGATGTGTATTTTATACTGACACCGGGTGACCATACGAATACAGAAAGTCGGGTTTTTGGCGCAGGTAGCCCCGAACTAGGACAGCAGCCAATCTAAGATACCTACATAGCGTCCGTACAGCACGTCATAATGAACAATAAGTGCAGTTTTATTCCTAATTTTCTGCACCTGATTGGGCTTATGAAGAAGGCGCGTATTTAAGACAGTAAGATGCGTTCGAAGTAGGTGAAGCTGGCTTCTCGCGACCTGCCAATAGTATAAAACTTTTAGACAAACGTGGAAGCGGACCATAGAATTGTCAGCAACAACCATCTAACTTGGAAAAATCCATTGCTGATAGGATATCATCGGGAGCAGAACACACTGTACATATCAAAATTATTTCAAATTCGACAGTCTTCACCGACACCGTGTTCCCTTCGTGATGTCATCGAACCGTAATATTATGATGGATCCACGATCGATCCAGGACGGCATTGTGAGAGCGTTACAGTGTGATCTTCCTAAATCAATCTGACAGCTTCTTGTTTTTTTCGTGATGCAGGCTTCAAACTGTCCAGATAGACACCAGATGGCCATACGAATTCGGAAAGTTGAATTTCGGGCGAAGATAGCAGCCAATCGTAGGCCGAAGTTAGTACACTGACACCAGAACAGCACATGGCTATATGACGCATAACGAGAAATGAAATAAAATAAGTGGAGTTTTACGTCCTAATTTTTCCGCACCTGATTGGGTTTATGCAGAAGGCACGTCATAATGAGAGTACGATGAGTTCGAATTTGGTCACGAAGGCTTCGCGTGACCTAAACTTTCAGCCGACTGTAGAATAGTTAGCAACAACGAAACAAACTGGGAAAAAATCCATTGCTAATATCATCGGGAGCAGAACACATTGAATATTTCAAATTATTTCAAATTCGAATGTCTTCACCGACACCGTGGTCTCATCGTGACGATGGATCTTCGACTGCATTGCGAGGGCTTCACTAAGTTGTGAGTCAATCGGGTAGCTTTGTGTTTTCTTCGTGAGTTGAAAAATGCCTGATGGCACCGATGATAAAAGGACGAAAATCCGAAGATGTCACGATTTGACAAGATACCTTCAAGATGGCATTGCAAGGACAAAATCGATACACGAATTCAACCTTCGCAACGCCCCTCCGATTTTTTTTGTTTTTGGCATGCCAATGAATTTACCATCACTCACGAAATAACTGGACATCTGGTGTCAATTTTGGGACAGTGTGACGCGGAATTTGAGTGATTGCAAAGAAAAAAATCGTGTCATCTTCTGTTTTACTTCGTAGTATCATCAGCTGTCCAATCGATTTAGGAAGACCACGCGACTATGCGAAGCCCTCGCAATGCCGTCGTGGATCCACCGTATTAAAGTGCGTTGACATTACGATGAGAACACGGTGCCGGTGAAGACTGTACAGAAATATATCCGATGATATCCGATCAGCGATGGGTTTTCCCGTGTTTGTTGGTTGTTGACAACAATTCTACGATCCACTAATCGGCTGAAAATTATATTTCATCGGCAGATTACGCGAAGCTTTCGTGACTAAATCCGAACGCATCGTAGGTCCCACTCATTATGACGCGCATTCTTAGGACGTAAAACTCCCCTTATTTCATTTACTTTCTCATAGTGGCATCTTGTTGCCATCCTCGTGTCGGTTCTGGTGTGATTGTGTGACGTTCTGGAGGTATCTTACTCACTTTGCTATTGGATTTGCTGCTGTCCTAGTTCGGGGTTATCTGCGCCTTTGTGAAGGCTGCATTATCCTACGGTCTGTTAAAATAAAGCCAATTGTCCTGGGTATGCTTTTTGATTCACAGTGCCAACTAAATAATGCCTAATCAACCAACTTGAAAAATCTTTGTTCTAAGACTGAAGCATCCTTCTTGGATTTGCTTCACGAAATTGTCAACAATCATTGTGTCCGACTATATCCATTCCATCCATTTCTATTCATGTGCAGTTACACACCACATCACCAGCTTATGGAGTATACATTTCACAACTGATCCGAAATATTACGGCTTTATGAGAACTTTCTAGTTACTAGACAAACAAAGTAGTGTAGAGAATTTTATGGTCGTTACCGAGAACGTTTTGATAAATACAATACTCTGCCTCTTGTAATTCGGCTAATTTGTTTGGTCTGGCATGAAATGATCTGGTCTAATTGTAATTTTGACCCTTAAAGTAGTGGCGAAGCAGATCACGCTTACTCTTTTCAAAACACCTAATAGTACTTCTCTTTCGAGGAGTCCACTACTATACAACTTTAATTTTGTCATTCTTTGGGCGAGAGTTTTTTGTATATACAGAACTGTCGTGCTTTTTAACTTTTATAACAGTTTCCCTTTAGTATTTTATCATAATGATGACTACTTATCACATTTCTGATACTTATGATGCAATATGAAACAGGCATTAGTACAATTGTGTCAGGAAACAGAAAATATATTAAAATGACGCAGAAAATGTATATTCATTCACCTTACGTATGTAGAACTGTTATAGAATTCTCAAAACGTCAAGTTTTGTGTCAATCGCGATATTACCAAGTTAAATAGACGTAAGTAATAACTCTATTTAAGTTGACAGTAGATCATTTAATGAGGCTTATCTGAACTGTTATATTGTATCATGTGCAAGATTTACTGTAATGATCACAACCTACATTCTTCTTTAGTGTCATTTATAACCATCACTTTGGCACATTAGAACCTTTTTGTTTAACACTTTCCTAGTTTAAAGTATCAACTTAGCTCGCCGGTAATAAAATTTCGTTTACATTTAGTTGTCATATAATTGATGGTGCAATTAATTTGCAATTAACCAGAATTCAATAGAGAGTAGTAATAGTATGTACTGCAAACCATTGTTGTAAATAGTAATATTAAGGATATTAGCTATTTTTTATGCATATCTGGCATAAATTGTATTTAACCTAGAGGATTGCACTGCAAATAGTATATATGAATATCTTGATCTCCTCGTGATGGGAGTTGTCTGGAACGAATGTTTCTGAAATAAATAAGATTCTGTCTTTACAATTATTTACAAAGGAAGTATTCCACTTTGCAGGTTTTTTTTCACATTTCGTATAATTACATAGAGAATTATGTGTCTAGAGATATGTGAGAATACATTAGAAATGCAATAACCAATAATTTCCTGGCCGCCATTAGGCTGTTTTGGCCGATGGCTTCTTAATTGCGATAATATCTATCTAGAAGCAAAAATGTTACCAACTCCTGAATGTGACCGCAATCTATCAGTTTTTATTTTTAGTATAGCCACTTCGCAGTAGGGTCTAACGACCGGAGTCTTGAACATTCGTCAAAGTAACCTTTTGACCTAACCTGCATTAACCAATCAAATTTACACCTTCGCGATCGAATGGTGTTTTCATTGGGTGTTAAATTTAAGGTAAATTTAATTGGTTAAAGAAAACGTCATCAGGTTACGTCATCAAAAGGTTAATGTCCATGACTGCAGTCGTTTGACCCTACTGACAAGTGGATATACTAAATAAAAACTAATAAAAAAAACGAAACGAAAGTTGGGTCTAACTTTAATTAGACTATGCGTCCACGGTATGTTTTTGCATGAGAACCGTGCGTCAGATTTTGATCATAAAATGTGATCATCTTATTTAAAATTGAGCTCTTTCCATTATTTTGCAAATACTTGAGAATTTATAATAAATTATAATCAATCATAATTAATATATTGCATAATTCAATAACTATATTTTGTTTTTGCAGATGTGAGCAGTTTTAAGTTTAATAGATTGCACATGTATCTGTAAAAGAATGGAGACATTTAGTGATGGCGATATCCAGATATTTCCAAATCAAAGCCTTATAACTATCTTTCAAAATGTGTCAACACTGGACAAAAACTCTCCATATTATGGACTGGAACCAGGGATCTGTATCCATAACAGTAGTGATGAATATGAGCATTTTTATCTTTCAGCCCAATATGTAACAGGAATGATCATATATCCGGTATTATGTATCATAGGGATTACCGGAAACGTTTTAGCCTTGGTCATACTCAGTCACAAGAATATGGCAACATCCACGAATGTGTATCTTTCCGCCTTAGCTGTTTCAGACACTTTAAAGTTATTAAATGATTTACTCTACTTCATAATGCTAGTGATATCAATTGGCAATCCAAACGCTGGGAGCAAAATGATGATCAGTTTGTATGCGTTTGCACATTATATATTTAACATGTCTGTTTGCGTTACTGCGTGGCTGACCGTCTCTGTAGCGATGGAGAGATACATTTGTGTTTGTTATCCGACACAGGCCAAACTACTTTGTACAATTCACAGGGCAAGGATAGTGTGTATCGCTGTTTTCGTTGTTATGATTTTATTGTCTTTGCCCTCGGCGTTCCGCTACAAACCAGCTGAGATCTACGATGCTAAACATAATACAACATGTCACCAAATCGCCTTAACAGAATTGGGCGCTAATACAACATTCATGGTACCTTATCAATGGATACAAAATTCGTTACGATCTATTATCCCTTTAATTGTTCTCATTTATCTCAATGTTCGGATAATAAATGAATTACGGAAAGAAAGAGTGAAGGGAAAGAAACTATCATCACGAAATAAGATAACATTAATGTTGATTATCATAATGGTGGTGTTCGTGGTATGTATAACGCCTGATGCAGTGATGTCAACATTTTTCGGATTTGGTTATGTGGACGAGAGTAGTTTGGTGAAAGGCATTCGTGAAATCACAGATTCTTTACTTGCAGTGAATTCAGCATTTAACTTTTTATTGTATTGCTCTTTGAGTATGGCGTTCAGAAACACATTGATAGCTTTATTCTGTGGGTGTAAAGAAGGCTGGTTTAGTCGAGTGAGCAAGAGAAATGTGCAAAATGGATCTTTGATTATCCGAGGTGATAAAAACGATCGTAAGAACTATCGTACTGGTGATGAAACGTACGTTTAATAAGTTATAAGTATTTTCTTTCTTGATAATGACCGAGATCGATATTCTGTTAAAGGGAACTTACATGATCCATTATCTCTCTAATTGATATGAATGTCTGACGGAATAGAAATTATATTTATTAATCTAATGCTCGTTCAATGTCCTTGCCGAAGGTTACATTTTGTTTCTGGGTTTTTATTCCGCCTTAAAACTAATTTTCTTCTTTCTGGTAAATACTGAAATTTTCTCTCTAGTAGAATGGTAAGATCAGTATTAGTTATTTGATAACTACATCTTGATCGAACAATGCTTCGCTTTCGCACAAGGAAATTCATATCCTATTATGGCAGAATCCAAGAAACGGCAGAATTATATATAAATACAAAATGTAAACTTTTGGAATGATGGAACATGCAATTTTCATCGTGGAAGGCAAAGACGAAGGAAATGACACTCGTAACGTGTAACCACAACCACGGATCTATTTGAATTTTAGGTTGAATGTATTTGTTTATTTTACAAAAAGGCAGGAGTCAGTTCTCGAATAATCTTCCGTTGGAAACAGTTTAAAAGACCTTTTCTTTGAAGATAAACCAAATAACTCCAGGTCGCAGCACCATATCGTCCTTTTAATTGTGTTTTGGGCATTTCATTTTTCTACAGGGGTCTTTAATGATGGATTAAAACCTATTAATTATGCTTAATTAAGACTTTCAGTCGATAAGTACCACAAAATAAATATCACTGCGTACAACAGAAATCTACGGTTTTCAATGTCAATGTAAAACCATGTTTATTTCATCAATATTTTAGTTAAGTCGTGAATGGAAATGATGCATAGCCGAGTACGTGTATTTATCTGTATCATGTAAATATTGGTAAAAATCTACCGTCAAATAAGAGACGCTTTCTATTCATTACGGCTACAAATGTGACAAAATATTTAAAGTGCTAATGTTAATACTCCGGATTTGAACATGTACTTATGTGACGTAAGTTCAAAACTTTTATGCCAATTCTAATATTCCCCTTTGTAATATGAACTTCTTGCTTAATTGTCATAGATTGTTAAAAATCTTGAGAATGACAATTCCTTCCATGTTCTAAAATGTCAACTGCAATTTCTTCAAATTTCAAAATCATTTATAGCGCAGTTTAAACGTGATTTCTGACTTTTTATGCGTATGAACGGCACTTAAGAATCTTATTTCCAACATTTCATATGAGATTTGGGAATTTTCTTTTTTTAAAGCTATCTTTTTATTTCCCTTTATCTCATGTTTCTTCGTTGTGTTCTACTTGGCATCCATTCCTACATTATACGATTATATCCAAAGGGGGTATTTTGTTAAAGAAAAATTTGAGTAATATCGGGATTTCAAGCTATTCCGGTAACAAAAAATACTTTGTTTGCAGACAGTAAACTTGCCTAGTGGGAATCGTCTCTTCAACACGTCCGGAACTATCATATATTTCTGCTGTGTTTCACTTGAGGTAATAAATATTCATAATGCCATATGATTTGAAGCCGACCAGTATACAAGCTTTAAAGTAGCCATTTTTACGATTTGTTTTGTAAACATTGTTTTGCAAACAAGCACGAAACTCGTGAATAATATGTGAATGCGGTCAACCTCTGTTTGTTTCTATCGTGTACAATGCTGTTATGGACGTGAAATGAGGTCTCAACCATTTATTCATTGTGGGCGAGGTTGATAGTCATATCCTCTTTATTTTGTATAGTTAGAAATTGTTTGAGAAATAGATAAATAAGAAAATATAATAGAAAACTTATGCCCCGGGGAGAATACAGAATGCCAATTTTTTAATGATTATGCAAGTCCTTCACACAGAATCTAATAGCATTTGGGGTTTACAGAGAACATGCATCTGACCTTATAAATATATCACTGGGAATGTAATTTCTCAATTTCATCACCATTTTCTTACCCACTGAACACCAACAAAGTATTGGCAAGTATTAATATACGTTATGTCAGGGAACTCGATTATGATAAATCGTAATGTATGATCCGGATTCCCGTGGATGGTTTTGAATTAACAGTTCAAATTATCCCCGAAAGAACGGATTGTTCAGCTGTATGTTATTTTCCCTCTTGGTATAAATCAATATCATAATTTGGTTGGCTTCAATGAATTTAGTTCTTATTTAGAATTAATAAACTATCCCCGGATGTCCTCTTTAACTAAAGGACGGATAATATCTAATCATTTACGAGCAATCTGCAGAACTATTTTTTCTGCCGAATACAGTATTCCAAGTACAGAGCCAATGACGTGTATGATACGATGTTTCTTAGAATATTGTCTTAAGCAATGATATTTGTTGCTGTGAATACGTGCAATAAAGATGATTATTATATTATATTCTTGCCTTGTGTTTTATCAGACATATTTTTTTACAGAACTGCAAAGTCTCAATATAATCATTAAATGTAGATTCCTGTGTTAGTAAGTTTATATGGAGTATGGTGTTTCAGTGCGTGAAATATCTGCAATGGAGCTGTCCGGTAAGTAACTATCCGGAGCTAGCAGTGGGTTCCTTGTTAACCAAGGGCACCCCAAAGCACCTCTTTAATAACAAAATCGGATAGTGAATTGGATTTGGATTGGGATATGAGAATCTGTTTCTGTCAGTTACCATCAATTTTATTGTTCATGCTCTACTATCTTATGATATGGACTTTGATGTCGACTTTGGTGGATGGAATCGTGGTAGCTTTTAGTAGGCTAATTTCTATAAAGATTTTCGCTAAGACAAGGATTAAAACTAATGCACCTGTGGCCCTCCCTTTCTTTTTCTCCTACTTTTTCGATGAGCCAATTCAAAGACAAAACAGTATGAAACCCAAATACTTGACTACGCAAAATCGTTTAATAATAAGGGATTAATCCTGTCAAAATTTTGAAAAATCAAACTACCCGATGATAGTCACGTCTTAGTTTATGTTACAATATTGCATTATTTCGTTACATTACTCATCCAAAGCTCAAGGTGGTGTTTGTTAAAGCTTCGTTCGAGATCTTAGTGGAAAGGGACGCTTTGTCATTGGGAGTTGGAAATAATCAGAAGTTCTACAAGTCGTACAAGTTAAAGTTCAAGCTTGGACAGTAGGGAATACAATAGGAAAGGTATTGGACCCCGTCTGGATATTATGCACACTTTGATAAAATGGCTGTTGATGAACGAGAAACTTTTAGCATGAAAATCGTTCGTAAAACATTTTAAAAGAACACAATGTTGCAATATCACTTTAATTATAACAAAACCAGTTTAACCAAAACCATACATTAGATTTCATACACAGTCCTGGTTTTAAAAAGCAAGGGAGATCACTCGGTTTAGGAATATAATCATTGAAAGCAAAAAACGGTTGAAAAGTATGATGGTGCTCCAACGCTTACATTCAAAGTCTTCATATATTTATACACAATATACTAATTCTAGATTCTAAAGTGTTTACAAGGAAATGTGCACAGACAGGTGTGACTTGTAGGGATGTGAGTGTTTAAAAAAAAAGATTAGGCTTGTCCTGTAAAATAAGGAAAAAACCTCAGTTTCTCATTTTAGCCCATTTATAGCAGAATAACAGAACTTTATGCCCCTTTTCCCTGCAACGCAACAGGAAGTTGGAAGGTATCGCTTTTTAAAGGAGTATAATGAAACTTTGTTTGTTACACGGTTTACAGATTATGTGAATTGAAGATAACAATTTTTTTTTGAACCTCTAAGAATAACAAACACTCTGATCGCTTCGGATATCTATCAATTTCTGTCCATTTATCTATATACATGTATCTATCTAACATATTAATGTACACTGTGTTTAAATTCGGTCAGATTGTTAACATATTTTTGTAATTTTTTTATTCAATTTTACAATTACATTCCTAAATAACTTTATGTTAAGCCCCTTTAAAAATGTTGCCTAAAGATGGGAGACAAATCCTAACAATTTTTCAGACGACATATAAATAATCTGCACTAAATGTATCGAATATCGTCGAAATATCTGTCCATCTTTTCTTTGTCTCATTCCACAGAATATATAAATAAATAATAAATAAATACATAACAAAAAGTATTGACGAGACGTTTATGCATCATTTATGAGATTTTCAACGAGTTTTCCTACAAGGAGGTGAAGAGGGCTCAATGTCTTGATTTACGAGCCGTGAAATCTAAATAGATGCTATTTGAATAAGAATATCTGAATTATGTCCCTTATCACGAAAGGCGATTGAATAAAATTCTACTTATATGCCACGTTTATTTACTTAAGCAAGAAAGAAAAATATACATAATGATAATTTATACGCCCACATTTTCATGCGGACTTATACCGTCTCACAATATTACTGGTGAAGACGAAAGAGACTACAGTTTTGTTTTGGATTTGGACGAAACGAAATAAGTTTCATATTTGTAAGATCTTAGGTGCCTCTGATTTGGGGGTTTTTAAAGTGACATATTGGCCATTTTGGGGGGTTGATTCTTGTCTTGAATACATGTAAATAGTCTTCAGAAATGTACGAAAGTAGCATAATTCCTTCAAAAATATCTCAAACTAAGTTACTATTTCCATATATGTTTTTTTCTATATATTAAAGGAAACTTATAACGTTCAAACGTGGATAACGCATGGTTTTGAAGGCTCAAATTTCGTTGGTGAGTTGTGAACATTATTACTGATTGGCTTAGCTAAATATTTCCGTTTCTGATACTAAAGTACGATTGTTGTTTTAACTGAGTTCATCAACACAGACCTGTTATTGATTGTTTTGATCGGATTTAAATTTCTGCTGTGTGGGCGTATTGCTCTTCGGGCGACTACTCGTTCCTTATGCAAGGTTTACACTATGCGACCACGACAGCCCCATTTTCCCTAAACGTATTTCTGCCTTTCCAGTGTTGTCACGTTGTGTTCCGTTTTGTCACGGTTCTCATGGCAAGCCGGGGGGAACGAAAGCCCATTCGTTACGTTTCAATAAAGATGCGTCCGGATGTGTGACGCCTTGCAGGGCGGAGCATTACGGTAGGTTGAGTTCTGCTAAGACCTGGACTTGTGAATTTCAATTATAGTGGTGATACTGATACATATAATATATCCGAAACGAACAAACAATAAAAAAATAAGACGTTAATAACGCATATTTATTATGATTTAAGGTTGAATAATGTGGCATTAGCTGAATTCATAACAGTGGTATTAACAATGATATTACGCAACTAGTCTACAAGATTTGATATGTAAATATTGTGTAATGTAATCTATATGGAGCCTAAAATCTCTTTAACAGAACGTATCAGTGTAGACATTTACCGTAATTAACAGGATCTCCGACTATAATTCTTTAAAAATAGAATGCGTTACTTCTCATGGTGATTATTGTGGGATTCTCTGTTTATCTGAAAAACCAAACTAGATCACACAGTTTGAATATATTTTATAACATCAGGCCCCCGTTTCACTAAGGTGCGTAAGTATAAATAGATACGTAAGTATATATGAAGGTAAAATTTGCGTTTCTAAATCCTACGACAACTACAAGAAGGCGTAAGTACGTTTTGGCGACTGATCTAGTGTTAGCAAAACGCCGACATTAGGCTTATCTTTCCATTTGCATCGACCATGCTTTTTGTTTGGATTTACTGATCGCCCCAAAACTGAACTTGGCGCGAATTGTATTAGAAATTTTCATAACAGCTTCGAAAAATGCCGATATTTCCTAATTGAACCAGTTATTTTTCTTGCGGATGATGCCATTTTGACAAAAGTGACAGTGAAAGACGATTTATTTCTGCCTAGCGTGACTTACATCATCATGTATTGATTTTACGTCACGAATTTTCATACTAACGCCACTTTTTTTACTTAATACTTACGCCAGATCTAGAACTTTGTAGAAGGCAAATATCAGAATTTTTTTCACGATGCAGTTAAATGGTGTGTCAGTCCACATCGAGTCAAATCAAATATTTTAACGAAAATATGTTTTGGTTCTATTTTTATATGAAATTTATAAATTACCTCTATATCGAGTTTAGTGATAATCGATCAAAGATTTACAATTTAGGCATTGAATTATAATCTCTCGCTCAATCTATGTCTGGCTAGTTGTATTGGTGTTTTAAAATCTAACACATGCTGTGGCTACGACACGTGTTAAAAAAAAGCATATGGAAACGACAACCACAAAAGGTTAAAACCAGAAGAAGATAATTATTAAGACTTGTTGTTCAGACCATGAGAGACGCATGCACAACAGTATACATTATTGCAAAATAATAACGAAGTCAGGTCTTATGTTGTCGATATTCCATGATGTATTAAGAAGAAATGAAAGATTGCATGCCGTTGTTCGTTATTTCATTACAGACGGACGTACACACACTATGTGTAGAGATTAACTGATTATCCATCAGTAAGTCTGAATTCATCATGTTTTAGCCTATAGTATCTATCATTGTATTATATTACCCCACATGTTCTATTTGTTTCTCAACATTATTACATTGGTGACTTCAATACGAGAATAGTGACGTTAACTTACACATAATTCGATCACGTCCAATAATATCGGTAATCAAGGTCTCTTTTAATCCTTCCAACTGTATGCAGTCATGGTTATAAGCCATACTTTCAAGATGAACCGATCAAAAATTACTCAGAACAACTTTTTTCATGTACTCGTTTTGTGTTTTATCCGTATGTTAATTTACTTTCCATCCGGTGTAACCAGAACACCTGTACAGGGCAATAAAGATTTTAAAACAGTCTATTGCAATAATATTTCAATAAAAGGATTCATGAAATACATTAACATTTCTATGTACATAGTATCAAAAATACTTCTCTTTATATTTCATTTTGGTCCAATAATATGTAGCACAATCCAGATTTATTTTCGACACTTTGGTTGGATACAAGTTTCTTCTCGTATTTAAAAACGTAAATGTTGTTATTATTTGCCAAAAATTGCGCTATTTGCACAATTAAACATAGAACAGCCCAGTAGTCAGACTTGATGGGGTTTAGTTTTCAGAATTTATTTCAGGCAATGAACAAGATACAGTCCTAGATTGATTGAGAGAAGCATAATGGGAATTGGTACATGTATTCATTAACTTTCTTTAATTAAAAAACCACAAAAGTTCAGAACTATGATTTTCATTACGATATCAGCAGGACCATGAATAAAATAGTTGGATGCATATTAAAACTTGTTCTATATATACCGTGTTGGTTCACACGATAGACTATTTAGAAATGTGATGCTGTTAATTATGTCACGATGACATCGTGTTCGGAGTAGCGAATGACTTCACATTCTTTATACAGATTAAATCTAATGAAAATCTTATACCACACGGTATATTCAAACAAAATCTCTCGATGATGCTGAACAATCTGAGGTTTATCCGCTTCGACGGCGGTGAATCAACGACTCTTTGATTTGAGATTCACATAATATATGCTTCAAACGAGAAAAGCCATCATCATGTTTATGAAGAATATAAAAAAGAATATGACCGACTCTTTAATAACAATATTACGAATGTGGCAGTACAGCCAAATATGAAATTAGTATTTTATATTTGGAATTAAATGTGCTGTTATAGCCATAAAGGTGCCTTGTGTTTTCTGTAATGAACCTTTCAGCTTATGTTTCTGAGATAATCACCACAATAGTTGTTCAGTATGTACCAATCTATCTTTCACATCTTTGAATCTTTTGATCTTTTCGAGCTTCTGTTATAAGAATTTTTCAGTTTAGTACTCTTTCGTTTAAAGCTACTGTCATATCGAACAGAACGTTTGGAGCCGTTGGCAATTCGAGCTGGCTGCCGCCCACAGAACACAACCAAAAACGTGTTTCGAAACATTTTGTTCAGAAGGCAATATAAGAGGAAATTGATAGCAGAATTGAAGGCGAGCAATGAATCAGTAATTTCCCTGATACCTTTCACAAGACTCGTCTCTTCATAATAACCTAATCCAAAAAACGTGGACATGATGGCGTCTGGTGTAATACAAACTACAAATATAACAATTATAATGGTCAACATTAATGTTATCTTATTTCGGGAGGACAATTTCTTTCCCTTTACTCTTTCCTTCCTTAACTCGTTTATAATCCTTACATTTACAAATATCAATACTATAAGTGGAATGATTGATCTCAGTGAATTCTGTATCCATTGATAAGGCACCATAAAAGTGTTATTTGAGCCCAGTTCCGTAAGTCCAATGTCATGGCAAGACACATTTTGTTCGACATCATAAATGTACAAAGGTCGATATATAAAGGCAGATGGAAGAGTAAGTGTGATCACAAAGAAGAACACCAGAACACAAATAATCCTGGCTCTAGGAATGGTACATAATTGTTTAGCTTGTGTTGGATGGCACACTGATATGTAACGTTCAATAGCCACCGAAACAGTTAACCATGCAGTAATGCATACGGACATGTTGAATATATAGTGCGCATACGGATACACGTTTACTAACATTTTAGTTCCAGCCGTTACATCGCCCATTGAGATTAATAACATTATAAAATATAATAAATCATTCAGCAGTTTTATAGTATCAGACACAGCCAGAGCAGAAAGGTAGACATTAGTTGAAGTACACATATTTCTATGACTCAACACGATTAATGCCAAAGTATTTCCCGTTATTCCAATAATACACAATATAGGGTATATTATCATCCCTGTCGCATATTGAGACATTCTATAAAATCCTTCATATGGATCATCCACTGTGTCAGAGCAACTTCCGATTAAATTATCATTCGATGGCGTCATGTTTAACGCTTGAGCTATCATTGTATGTTGGTAGCCATGAATTTCATCAATTTGTCCCCGGGAACGATTCTGAAATGATGTCAGCAGTATATCCATTTTAAAATCTAATCTAACTTATCACTTCATCCTTCATATACTATCTAGGTCAATCACCTGCAATGAAATAAGATAACTATATATATCAAATAATTTACCAATACAAAGCAGCGACGGAAAACAGTATTTAAATAATAACATTTATAGTTGGTTTCACTACGGATTGGAACACATACCAGAAAATTCAATTGTTGCGGAGATTGAATAAGAAATATTCTTGTAAAGAATACCAAGGCATTAAAAACCACTGATTTGATAACAATAGAAAGAATTTAAATGGAATCTCAAGTCTTGCATTCTAAATCCTATTAAAGAATTTTCTTAATAGATACATGACACATTAGTCTGTATACCAACCGTGTTATTATGAATGAATAGCTATGAATAATAGATATACACTTCTGTTATTTGTAATTCCTTTTATCTTACTGGTTACTGATTTTGGTAACAATGTTTATTGTGCCATAAGTATACAAGAACTGACGAAGAAAACTATTAGACCTATCTTTGGAGACAGTGACAGAGCGTGCACTGCAATCAATATACAATATGAAGCCAGAATGTAGACTTTACTACCTCTCCTTTTGAGCAACGATTTACATTAATTTCAAGAAAATATAAATATACTTCAGTTGTATGAATTGTAATACTTCCCTGCGAAACAACATTAATAGAAACAAGTTTGATTTTTTAAGATCAACTTTAGTTGTATTTTCAGAATATTCGAGGTTTAAACTTCTGAGCTTTTGTGATTACTAAACGCCGTCATCAATTCAGATCTAGAGCTCTTTTAAATCGACTTTCCTTAAATGGATCAGAAAGAGGATTTCTCAACTTTTGATTTGCATTGGGGTCACTTATAGCATCGATTCTAGATTAGAGGTGGTTCTTGTTATTCCACTAAATGTAAGCGTACACCACGCTAAAGCTTTTAATAATATCTAAGGACCTTTACGCTAGTTGCGTCAAAGAGTACATAGTTTTAGTGGCATTGCAAAAGGTCTGAATGCAAACCGATGCTATCAGCGTCCCTGATACACATAAAAAGTTTTGAAAACAGTAACTTTGGGCAAAGAACATCATATAGGAATAACAAAGTGAATGTGAATAAAATCACCTCAAAATAATATCTTTTACTCAGCATTGAGAAAAGAAAACTCCAAACATTTGGTATCAATATTGGAACAATAATAGCTTTAAATTCTCGTTTAACAATTGGCTTTTATTTCTAGTCCTCCTTGGCATAGATTTATTAGCAATATTATTTGAAACATCGTTTGATGAAATTGTTTTATTGGCTTTGTTACGTAGCTTTTCAGAATGTCGATATGTCGTGTGGAATGATATTATTGTGATTTAGGGCTATGAAGGATATTTTGCTTACAATACAATACAATACAATACAACATTCTATGATGTCTTTAATGAAATTGTGCTTTTCAATGAGGAATGATTTATTTAAGTTCAAGAAAAGTTCACAGACGATAAATTTTAATTATTCATAATTTACTTTACATTCTCTGCAGAAATTCTTTTCAACAACATAATGTGGATTTGTAACGTTGGTAAACTCAGTGGATATGTCTTACTGACACAAACAATATGCTAGGGTTTTAGATTATTGAATACAAATAGAAGTAAAACGCATCAGATTAATGATGGATACAAAGATAACCCTATTAGCGCTGTCTTAAAGACAAATCATTTCGTGAAAAAATGAACGTAAACAAGCAATACGACAGTCCTAACCATTATTCAAGACCAATTATAAAAATTTTCAAAATGTTCGAGGTTTAAACTGCTGAGCTTTTGTGATTACTAAACAAAAACTGTTGAAGAAAGAAGGGAAAGTGTATGTATATTTAAACACATTCCATTGAATCCTTTAAAGCCATAGAACTGAAAGAGGCACATCAGAAAAAATTTGCATGCAAGTTCCATGTCACATAGTTTCTTAAATTTTGTTTTTGTTTTCTACGTCAAATTCAAACAATAATGCGCATAATAAATATTTACAAGGTATATGTCCTATTCACGCAAACAGCGTTGTCGTTCAGAATAATGAGAGAGCTTTTCCAAATTTTTGTAGCCAAGCGAGAAGAAAAAACAAGTGTATAATTCTATTACACCTACATGTGTATTCCCAGAAGAAATTATTCAACATCAATGTGAGTGTCAATTAACAGTTACAATGAATAACGTGACAGGTTTCGACAAATTTTGGTTTTACGTATTGAGCTATAACAAAGTAGTAGCGGTTGGCGAAAGTATCGTCAATTTTCAGTCCGGCTACAATGAAGAAAAAGCAGTTTTTCAGAAGAGATATTTTTCGCAGGATATCAATGTTACCTTGTCTACTATTGGTATTTCCTTTGCAAAAAAATCTTGTAAAATATTCCAAACAGATTTATCTTCACTACAATTGTAAACAATAAAACAACCCCCCAAAAACTTTTCCTACTGGATCAAATTTTAACCAGTGGGGCTCAGAGCATTCATCTTGAACGTTTGTCAATTGTTAAAATTGTCTTAATATGACCAAAAAATGCTATATAAGTAACGCAAATCGATTTACTATTACAATTATGCCATAATTGAGATATAGTTGTCATATATTTGCATTTCTTACAGTTGTTGGTCTTCGAAACCTTGTTAAATTACACCAGATTGGTTTTATATTGTCCTGCGCCAGAAAAAGTAACACTGAAATGCTTGAAGAATTTTATAGAATATTCTTAACCTTTTGCAACTTCTAGTCTATCACCATTTAACGTCTTGCATACAAAAGTTATTAATCAATGGATGCTGCTTATATGATTTATTAGACAAAATTTCTTCTTTTGGGCGTCGATCCAACAAGCATTATGCTCAGCAATGTCGTTTACTTGTTTTTAATATCGTTTGTTCATGTAAATTGCTGAGTAATATGGAACTTTTTCGATTCTCTTTCTAAGAGATTCACGACAAAAATCATCCGTAAGTTGATTCGATTGGTGCACTCAAGATTCGTTTGAACAATACTATCACAACTTCATGTCAACAATCCCGGATCAAATACTCAATTATTTGAAGAAGTCGAATCAATGGATTTAATAATTCTTCTCCAATAACAACCGACGACTGCAAGTTATCAAAGCCGGAGTTAAGATTTTAAAAAGTGAATTTAAGGTTTTAGAATTAAGAATGTAATGTTTACCAACGAATGATATTCATTCAACATTTTGCTTAATCTCAACCACAAATGTAACTTAAAAGTCTTTTACAAATTTTCTGAGACCAACTCGATGCTTCTGATCTTAATCTATGATTGATTGCGTCTGAATTGATTTTCCATTTGTTGCATAGGATTGGAAGTAGTAGATGCGTAATGGAAATGTTCTGTAAGGGATTAAAACAAATGAAACATTAAACTTGGAATTACATTAAAGTATTGAAAGGATTAGATCAAAAGAATTTAACAAATCTACTTTGAATTTGAATAACAGGTATGTATGTAAGCGTTATGTTCCAAATGCTTTCAAATTCTTAAATCACATTTTTTATTTCAAACGTCTATTTCTACTAGCATAATAATTCAGTCTATTAGATAACAAAATTAGGGATAATCCATATCGCCTTATAGCACTTATCAGAATAGCTTTTGTCTTTTAGCAATTATGTTATGAAACGTAAGAACCGCCTGCGGAGCCGGGCGAGACCATCAAATGCACAATCAAAGTTGTGCAAACAATTTGTGGAAATCAAACGCATTTCCTTGAATCAAGGTATCCCGCAGTGTTACAACCTAAAATTCTAAATCGAAACATTAAGTTTTAACACAAAAATCAACAATTAACCATATCTATTGAAATAAGATTTCAAAGAACCCCATAGGTTGTAACATTAAACACCAGTGTCCACATAGGCGAGTTTAAGAAATACGCCACCGAAGCGGTTTTATAGGTTATCGTGTAATCCGCAAGGCGTTAGTCAATGAAATCACAATTAAAATGTCGCGTGAGAATTACGAAAGCCGGGTCAGGACTTCCAACTTCCGACCTCCAAGTTTTTTTTTTCACTTCCTACTTCCAAGTTTTTTTTCACTTCCGACTTCCGATTTCCAAGATTTTTACTTCGGACTTCCAAGTTTTTTCTTCCAGCGAGCTGGTAATTAAGCCTACGCTTTTGTGATCATATCCATTTTGGCTTGTTAACGCGATAGAAGTCACAGTTGTCATCTGATCTCAATAAAATTTGGGTTAATTTATATCTAAGAGTCCTTAGGCACGTTCAAATTAAGGTATGATTCAACAGAGGATAACAGAGTTTCACAACTGGTCCGCTATGCTAGAGCTTGTTCTCTTTATAATGTCTTTCTGGCAAGAAGTCGAATATTAACCGTGAAATTACTGAAACAGGGTTACTTGACACAACAAGTGGTTGCCTAGCAAGATACGCCCACTTTCCTGATACATTTTCAGTATATCAAGGGCGGTCACCAATCTGTGTCAAATCATACGAAAAATCTAATTTGTGCAAGATATAGTTGATTTAATCAAACACACAATATTCAATAAAATTCTGACATAAACTATCGTTTTAACAAGCCAACGAATTTTGATGCGTTTTTACTAAGTCAAGGGCAATAACTCAATTTCCGTTCATCTCGAGATCATCAAATTTGAACTTGTCCAAGAATTCATTAATATAAATGATCACACCAAATTTCATGAAAATCAGATAACAAGCAAATTGTGGACCGACGGACTGACAGAGGTTACGACAATATACGACCACATTATATGTGGGCGTATAAAAACCGTCCAACG